ATAGTAGCATACATTTAAATCATGATAAACACAGTTAAAACCACACATATAGCACCTCAATAGTCAATACCATGGTAAAAATATAACTATATGGTTTTTAGGCAGCCTATTTGTATGAAAAACAGTAGTCTAAAAACATTCAGTATAAATGCACACATGCTATAGCTTAATCACAAATACATGCTACAAGTATATACCATTATTCTTTTTATAAAATTCAGTGTGAATATCCCAAATTTCTGCCACAATACCATTGTGCAGTGAGTGTTACTGCAGTAAATCCATGGTAAATGATGGCGATTTGTAGATTGAAAAGCCTTCTGACTGTCTTGTTCATTGCACACAGTGTTTCTCCTGTTTGGCTTTAAACTAGTTTAAATCACAGAGTCATTTGTGTTCATCACTGAATTCAAGTGCTTCACACTGGATCTCACAGCACTGCTTAATGCTCGCGTGACCGAGTAAACACATCTGCTCTAGTGAGCTCGCGCCGGCGGCAGTTTGAACTTTGATTCGAGCGAATATACGGTCCGTGTGGTGCGATTCAAATGAGTCGCACTGTTTCATTCCGCTTTTGGCGCATAAACATTATATCGCGATAATTATCGTTATCGAATTATCGCCCAGCCCTATTTTCACATATGTACAATTTATAAAAATGTTTTGACAACTGCAGTTTAATCTACTTGTAAGCTATGCCTTTGTCTCCCATTTATGAATAAAACATGCACGTTAATAAAAAACTTCTAAATGCCACTAAACCGGTTCTGCACTTAAAAGAGACATTTGCTCACATGTCACTGGCGATGGAGGAGTTTCTGGACATAGACTTTGGTGAGAGGTCATAGTCGCTGTCAGAGCGGTACAGGAAGGACTCTCTCCTCTGGCTGTGCACAAAGTTGGCCTGGAGGATGAGACCTGACCCCGGGCTGGCCATGGGATCCAGCGGACTACGTCCTGATGAGGTGCCATTGTCCACATCAAAGCTGGGGAGACAAAACAAGGGGGCAGTTAGTGTTGATGTTAAATGAGAAAATTGGAGGAAGTAAAGTAGCATATTACTCAGGTTGACAGAGTTGACAATTTCCGGTAATATGGGCGTTTTGTTGACCAATTTTACCTAAGCAACGGTTGTGCGATTTGCCATTTTTTCAGACAAAAATGAGCAATTTTCTTCTATGAGCATATAAAGGATATGTGCATTAGGATAGTTTTAAACAATTTTATGGAAATTATGAAATAATTCTCAATAAACTGTCAATAAAACTGTTAGGACTCATTTCCAAATAAACATGTAATGAAATAGTATAGACATAAAACAAAAAATAAACATTAAAAAATAAAAAAAAACAAAAACCAACAAACACACACAAAAAAATCAACACACAAAAACAAAATAGCAAACATTTATCAAATAAACATAAAACAAAAAAATGTAAAAAGCAAAAAATAAAGTAAAACTTAAATTTGCTCCAAGGTAATGTGACGATTTATTTAAATACATATTGATTTAGGTTGCTGTAATATTGTAGTGCAGCAACAGCAAAATAATAAAACACAAATTAATGCATTAAAAATTATAACCACAATACAAAAAACAATTCTTCCAGCAAATTCCTGATTTAGAGGGCATCCCCAGCCCAGCGGGAGCGCCGTCCTTAACCTTCATCTCCCTAGTCCTTAGATCCACCCAACTGTGCTTACAACATGCTGACCCATAATCCCCGGGGAGCATTAATATAATTGCTCTGCCCTGGGTATTTTCCTGACGCGAACGGTGACGTGTTATTCTCACTTAGCCACCGTCATCACCTCCATGCAGGCTCACATCTGAGATGAGAAACGTGGTGTGGATGGATAAACCCGTATTAGTGGGTCAGCCTGCACCTTGGTGACTTCAGCAGACCATACTGTCTGACACATACAGGGCCAATGATTCATGACCCACGTAAAACAGGGGATTGAGTTTTGTTTCGACTGAGAACAAACTTACGCATACGACTTTTCTATTGTCTGTTCAGTGCAATCAAAGCACCACAGTGCCTGACACAGTTTGTGTCCTGTACTTTTTCAAGCCAACACTTTATTTTTGTGTTTCATTGAGAACTAACTTAATCACAGTTCATTCTAGAGCTGGCGGTGAGTGGCCCGCTGATGTGCTGCCCTCATCTCTCTTGGGTCATATCACAGGAATGCACCGGCTTACCTTCTCACACTCTCAACTCTAGACATGCATTATGAATGAGATGGTTCTCCTTTTACTGTAACCCACACAAAAGCATTGATGCTTATGCTACAAAGAGGAATATGGGCTCCTATAATAACCATAAATAAGTCAACACACATTTCTTTCACTTGAAAATGAAAACGCCTTCATGATTCTAGAGAGGTGGGACAAAACATGTCCAGTGATTTTCACAGCAACATTTTCACTTTTTGAAATTAATCACAGATCACTAGAACCTTTATAAATTAAAATAAATAAATGTACATTTAATTTAAATGTATATTTACATAATCTTTTTTATTTTTATTTCATTGATATTATCACTCACTCGGCCTAAAACTCAGACCACAAAATATTTTACATATTAAAATATGTATATAACATAAAACCTACTATATTTAAAACAAAAATAATAATACATAAATAATATTTATATTGTAATTCTAATATTTTTGCACCAAAGGATAAATCCATATCTCTGAACATGTGAAAAAAATTAATCCAAAATAATTTCTTTTAAATAAATTGTATTTATTTTTCACTTCTGTAGCTGTTCTGTCCCATGTCTCAAAAAACATGTACACTACTGTTTAAAAGTTGTTGTTTTTTTTACATTTTTGAAAATATTCTCTTACCCTCAGGGTTGTAAAAACAGTAATATTGTGAAATATACTAACATTCAATTTTAATATATTTTAAAATGTTATTTTTGTCTTTCGGCTTCGTCTTCCGTGTTGCACTTCAGAAATCATTCTAATGTGCTGATTTGCTGCTCAAGAAACATTTCTTATTATCAATATTGAAAAAAGTTGTGCCGCTTAATATTTTTGTGGAAATCGTGTTATTTTTTGCAGGATTCTTTGATGAATAGAAAGTTCAAAAGAACAGCATTTATTTGAAATATAAATCTTTTGTAATGTTATAAATGTCTTTACTGTCACTTTTGATGACTTTAATGTGTCCTTACTGAATAAATTAACAATTTTCTTAAAAAAAATAAAAAATAAATCAAACTGACCACAAACTTTTGACCAGTGCTATATGTTCAGTTATTTTTATTTTATATCTATATCTGAATTCTTTTTGAATATTGTTGTCTGATGGCAATCTGACATTAAACTTTTTTAAATCCTGATTCCTCATAATAAGACCCCTTCAGGATAAGACCAGCCCATCAACAAACAGCAGTGTTGTGAGCAGTTTGCTTTGTCTAATGTGTCTTCAGTTACAGAGAGGAAAATACACCACTCCCATCCTCTCTCCTTCCTCCTCGTCTTCACTTTGCTAGTGCTCTAGTTTCACTCCCCTGATTTCCCTCTATCAAATAAGCAGTATGTGAAGGTCTCCATCTGTTCCCTGTACAAAGATCACTGCCTGCTTAAACTACACTTAACATCCAAACACACACAAGTGCACACACACCAACACATCTTATAGGCCCAAAAACACAGCGCTGTGTGTACTTTTGAGTAATTACCTTGGAAGTGTTTTTAGTCCTGATATACAAACACGTCATAATTAATTCACACATTACACAAACACAGAAAACCGTGGAACAATGAAAACCAAAGATACTGGTTATATAAAGTAACACAACACATTTCAAGCAGCTTTAAATCAGTGTCAGATAAAAACCTCCTCTACCTCATTAATCTTGTGAGAAATATTTCTGTAGCACTTATAAATGACAAATTGTTTAAAAAAACACAGTTCAGTATACCTAAGAGGTTAGTAGGAGTCTGAGTTTAATCACTAATTACCTTTTTGCTGGAATTGGACAAAAACTCTAAGCTCTTTGGACGTCAAACAGCGCTCTGTGACGTAACACACATGATACATTAAACAGTAATTTCTAGATAATCATAATCACTTCCAGTTATTTTAAAGCATAATGGAGTGGGCTGGGTGGAATCTCTCCAGACACCACAGATATGATCAAAG